TGGAGTAAAATTCATGCTCACAACTACAGAGTTCTAATGCATAAGACTGGGTCATTTTTACCCCTCTCCAAAGAAAACCCTGCAAATGTTTAAGGACCAAATTCACCCCATGTTTCTTGGTCAGTCCAAACAGGTAAATGATTTTGCCAATCTCAATAAAAGAGTTCCTCGAAGATGGTAGAAAAACAGAGCCTTTCCAGTTGGGAAGATTTCTCATTCTCCTAAGGATCATGGAAGCTTAAATTATTGAACTGCAAGACCTCTAGCTTGGGAGTGGAGGCCTGCATACATTTTTTTAGCCTGAATAAATTTCTTTGCCCTGGGGCTTCAGTTTCTCATCTGCAAGATAAAATGGTTAGAATAATAACTCTAAGAGCTTATGATTTGCTTAAAATGTTTTACTCAGAAAAGTTTTTTTGTGTTTTTCTAATTTCCCTAAGCAAAAAGATCTGGAAGAGAAACCATTATATTTGAATATTCATTGGTCCGTTGAGTTATATCATATTCCACTTCATTTTGGGGACTAAACTTTAAAAAGAAATTTTCTCTGGAAGTTCTTTGGAAACTTGAAGCTACATATTGGTGACATCAGTTTTACTCTACATTGAAAGTTTGCCAAAGAATTCCTTTACAAATTAGTCATTTTAATATCTTCTGAGAAACTTCAACCTTAATTTATCACCTAAAATCACAGAATAATTGTAATGGCACAATTCATATCAATAAATTGTTTTCAGGGATACGAACTCCCACTTCTGGGAAGTCATTAGTGATTCAGTTGTAAGTTGCAAAAGTATTTGCATAAGAAATTGCAGAGGATTCTGGAACTATTTTAATACATTCAAATCCCTTCATTTTTGCCAAAGTCACTTATAAATATCTTTTGAGGAGAGAGTGTACCTTGAATGAATCAATATGTCTGAGTATCAACTTCTCATGTTTGAGACTATAAATAGTGATTTCACGGAAGCCAGGTCACTAGCTTCAGGAAGTGGTTCCTGTCCCTTCCCAGCACTATTGGAAAAAATTGTTTAATGAAATGGTCATGCTTTACTTGGCAACCACACCATATTGTAGGCACTGATGAATAGGCGTTCAGTAGAAGTGGTCAGTAAGCAGAAAATACAAAGCACCTTTACTCTGCAGGTAACATATTGAGGCTAAAACACCCCCTTCCTCCTTTTCTCTGGATGCATTTGGAACTTCCAAACTCAGCCTGAGGGAAATGAGAAGAAATAGGGCAGCAAGGACAGGGAATATTTTCAATCCTAGGAACCACTTCTGAGTAAATGCCTTCATTACTAATAACTGGAACTTCACCAGCTCAGTCTACAAACACTGAGAATTCCCAGCAGTGAACACAATTAACCAAGAAAAAAATAACTTCCTATTTGCCAGGAACACATTTCCCTACTTATCTCACAGCGATCATTATAATTTCACCATCATCTTTTTAAATTTTAATCTATTATTGTGCCCAGTGTCCCACCTTGATCATCCTGAGAAGCTCCCTCATCTGATCTCCCAGACACCCATCACCACTCCCCACCCTCAACTCCATCTTCCAGAGGAAAGAGATGAAGTTTTCACTCCCCATTCACTTCTTACCAAGTTTGCTGTCTAAATATATCACTCCTGCTATGCCTGGAAGGAGAAGACAAACAAACAAACATGTTATTATAACCCATGGGTTGGATCCATAGTGAAACCTCTGCAGACTGATTTCTTTCCCTTTACCGAATATACATCCCCGGGGGTGAGATGTGCCTTTTTGTATCTGCAGCACCATCACAACAATGGGGAGTTAAGGATAACACCAAAACTCATCTCTTCGTATGCCACACTATGAAATGAAGTACTCTGCCCTTGAGAGCTTGCAAGCCTCACGGTGCACGATAGCACACCTCCAAGTCAAGCAGGCGTGCAGATATTGGAGGTGGGGGAGAAGGCAGGGTGACTGCATGGTTAGGGAAAGCCTCATGCAGAAAATAGGCTCCGAGTCCATCTGGAAGAAAAAGTGAGGCTCAGGCCTGGTCTGCGGGGGTCTCTGTCTATTCAGGAGACTGGGCAGGAAGGGGGTATAGTAGGAATAACTTGGGCTGTCACTCAGTCCCAAATTTTAATCTATCTGCTGCCATGTTCTGTGCGACTTCTGCTAAGTTTCCATAAAATTTTGAGCCTCCGTCTCTTCGTCTATCAAGCAGAGATGACAATATCACTGTCATCATTTAAGTCCAGTACTGTTCTTCATTCCTTGAATTTATAATCTTGGTCTGTCTGTGGCTTTTGATATTGTAGACAAGAGCTTCTGCTTGCAATACTCTTTCCCTCTAGCTTTGGAGGTACCACTGTTGGCTTGATTATTTCCTGTCTCTAAGATGGTGTCTTCTCTCTCCCTTAAAGATGAGGGCTCCCCAAAATATTGCCTTTAACTCTTATCTTGCTCCCAGTAATCTCATCCTTATCAATGGATTTAAACCTAGTTCCCAGATTCCTAGCTCTGACTTAGCCCTCTCTCCTCCATTCCACGTTTATATACACTTCTTACTGGACATTTCCACTGGATGTTCCACAAGTGCCTCTACTTAACATCCTGAAAATTAATTTTCCTCTTAGCTCCATGAATGATACCACTATTTACCAAGTGATTATTTGTGTTCAGAGGTCCCTAAGACCACCCTCAGGTTCAATAATTTGCAAGAAGGACTCACAGAACTCAGAAAAGCTGTTATACTCACTGTTACAGTTTATTGTAGTTAAAGGATAGAGATTAAAATCAGCAAAGGTAAAAAAACACACAGAGCAGAGACCAGGAGAGACCAGGCACAAGCTTCCAGTGGCCCTCTTCCGGTGAAATTTATAGGCAGTGTTTACTTCTCTTAGTGATGCTCTGTGACAACACACACAAAGCATTACCCTGCACGATATTTCATATATATATATATATATGGCCTCCTTTCTCTGCTTTCTTCTGTTACAATTTTTCCCAAAAATCTGAGTGCAGAAGGTCAAGCAAAAACATTCTATATTTCACATTTTTAAAATACAGGCTATTTGTGTCTCACTTATTCTGTATTGTTTAGTTGAAGTAATCATCAGATACATGCTTTCAAATGCCATAATGAGTCTGACATAGCCGATACCACATAGAATATGAGATATAACCTCAGTTAATGAGATCACAGGAATGAGCAAACTAATCCAGACAAAGCTATATCTAAAAGAGCTTTTGGGTTCCTGCGACTGTTTGCATTATTTTTACTGGTTGTGGATCAAGAGTTGTTGCAATGTATTGTAGCAAAGTGAGTAATTTAAAAAAAAAAAATAACCTTTATCACGGAGCACTTAGAAATGTATAGATCTCTTCAGCTGAGGCATGAAAATTTTCATTTGCATTATAGCCTCTTTAAAAAAATGAAAGGATTCCTTTTTAGTTTTATTGGCTGTCTGGCAGAACAGCCATATAAAAATTGGAACAAAGAAAAAAGATTGTTGTGTGTGTGTTTTTACCTTTTTGCATATAGATTAGTATTAATTACCATGTAATGAGCTGAAAATTCCTGCCAAGAAGCTGAGGTTTGTGGTTTCTTTAATGAGTGTTTTCTTCCCACTGGGTGAAGTAAAAATTTTTAAGTGTTAGGGATTTGCACTTGGAAAACATCTCTGAGCTATTTATACAAGCAAGTCAATAGGAACAGCACATTTTCCATTTATAGCCTTTGTAGGGAATTCATGGGCCTGACGTGTCTGGCAGGGTGCTGCTCTTCCCGGCGGTTCTGAGCCGTGGCCCTGGGCAGTTTGATGCGCAGAGGGGTGAGCATGGCATTCCCTGCCCTCAGCCCCGGGCTGGCTGGGGCTAATCTACACTCAGAGGCCTCCCTGCCTCTCCATTTACTGTCCAAACTGGTAGGAACCACAGAAGTCTGTTTTCTTACTCTCACCTCCAATGGATTCGGCCTATAACAGGTACCCCAACCACTGAGGGAAACTGGCGCAAGATGCCACCAAAGAAGTCGTTTTTTATCTTGTCCAACTTAAATGTTTGGGGGCAGTTTTCTACCACTGCCACCTGTAGGAACGTCGTGGAGGAGTCTACACAGAGAGACAAACAAAACTGAACCATTCTGGGGGCCGTGACAATGCGCCTCCTCTGGTACTGCTGCGGGAAGTGTGACTGATAAACGCCCACCTTCTGGGCTTTGAATGCCCCGCTACACACACTGTTCCACGCCAAATATTGGGGTACACGGCAGGCCTGCGCCTGTAAAGGATTCCGGGGAAGACCCTCACCTGAGAGCTGCAGGGCTCCTCACATGGGCAGCTCTGGCCTGGTCAAAACTGAGGCTCTGCCTCTTGTCCTTCTCTTTCTCTTTCCAGAGCTTTCCTCCCCACCTCTAGCTCCCCACAAACCTTGACCTTTACCACAATAAATCTCATACGTCTCCACAGCTGCCTCGATATCCTCTTCTATGGGGACCCAGATTCATGCAGTTGTTATCAGTTGTGATTACATTACTCTGATATATTAGAAAACCCAAAATAGCACTGTCTCAATGATCATCAAATTCTTTTGCTCTCAAGTCCACGGGTAGAAAGGCCAGTATTGGTTTAACCAAGGAGTTGTCTATCTTTTTGCTGATTTTCATCCTCAAGGTCACCTCATGGTACAACATGGCTGCTAGAGCTCCAATCATCCCATCCATTCCAGGGGAAAAGCAATGACAGAAGGACCAAAATAGTATTCCTCCTAATGCTTCAGCTTGCTTTAAGTCTTCTTTGAGGTTCCACCCAACTGTCCTTTTTCTTTCGTTGTCTAGAATACAATCACATAATCATGTGGGCAAACCTATATGCAAGCAGGGCTACAAAAGCTAGAATGCTACAAACACTGACATTCAAAATAACACTGGATGTTCTATTGCTAAAAATATATATATATATATATATTTGTGACAATTCTCAGTCTCTTCCATTCTACTTTCCTTCTCATTTTCATGTAGACACTGAGGAACAGGATGATGCCTGGATTTCTAAGAGGAGTCCTGGCATGAGCCCTATCCATCTTTGCCCAGGGCAGAAGGAGATGATCCTGGGCTCCCACTGCCCTTAGTTCTTCAAGGGCCTAGACTGAGGACTTCAGGGCATAAGTGAAAGTCTTTAATCATCCTGACTAAATGCAAGTATATATTCTATATGTCTTTAAATTTCAGTATCACAGTTAAAATCAAATGAACTTGAATGTCAGGAAGAATTAGAACCAAATCCCAGCTCTTTTGTTCACTAACAGTGTGAACTAATGACCAAGCAATTAAGCCTTTCTGCCACATAGTAAGTGCTCAATCAATGTTAGTTAGCTATTGGTTTGATATTTTTACTCGAGGTAAGGACTGGATCCTTAAAAATAAGGTGAGGCATAAAAAAAACTACCCTAAAAGCTTTTTGGTTTTTAACAACTCATCCTAAACTCTGTAGCTTAAAACACCAACCTGATTTTTTGTTTAAGTTACAGGTTCCTTTTCTGACACCTCTGTTTTAAATATTTCCAGTCTTTTTCCTATCTTTTTTCTAGGTCTGTTCCATACACCCTCTGTGTGTATGTTTTTGTTTCTATGAGGCTTTTTTCTGCTTTTTACTTTTTTCCTTTTCTAGGTTCCCTGACCTTCTAAGGTGTTCGCCAGGTCCCCTTTCCTACCTCCACCAACATTGCCATGCTCTCTAGAATTCCACCTGACACCTCACACCAGGTACCGTAGGATGGTAGCACAGACGCATACAGCCTCCCGCCCTCCTGCAATCTGCAGATTCAGAAACCATCAGCAAACAGGATTTGATAAGCATCTATTACCTGCGTATTAGTAATCATTTCTACACTCTGAGACTAGAATTCATATTTTCAGCCAATGAATTCAGATGTCAACACATAGCTGTACTTAGCCAATGTGAATTTAATTCTAGATCAGCTAAAAAAGAGATTAAAAAATCCCCTTCTCTAAGCAGAAACAGTTTCTTGCAAAATCACATAATTTTAATAATCTCTAGGCTTATAGGTGGAATGCTTACTACATTGCCTACTCTACCGGAATATGATTAACTCAAAATACCACATCTATTTGGATATCTATGGCTAATTTTTTTTTAATTTCTTGTTTATCAAAACATATTTTGTCTTTCTCTACTGCTAATCCCTGCTCATAATTGCTTGCCCATACATCAGAGTTCATCAATTCAAAAGATTTTTTTTTACTTTCTAGATCCCTAAAAAGAAATTATATTGGAAATAAATGATACAGCATTATAGCTTTTGCCTACCTACAAAGTTGGAAAATTTTTTCACCCAGAGAGAGCTCTCTAGCATCTTCTACTTCTTACCTTTGTAGTTAATGACAAATTGCTTAACTTTCCAGGATCCTGTCACTTCATTTGCCAAGAGGAGTTAATGATATCTAGCTGGTAGGGGTGTTGTAAAGATCAGAGCCAATGGATATGAAACACTAAGCCCAAAACCTCCCATTTAATAGGTGCTTCACAAAAGGAGGCAGTGGTAGTGATGATGATTATGAGGAAATTGTGGAAATAGAGGAGATGAAGGAAATGGAGAAGAAGGATATGTTAGTTTTCTATTGCTACGGTAACAAATTGCCACAAACCTCCTGCCAGAACTTCTAGGACTTAGTGGATGTCTTTGCTTCCAGTCTCACAAGGCCAAAATCAAGATGTCAGCTGGGCTTTGTTCGCTCTGGAGACTTTAGGGAAGAATCTATCTCCTTGCCTTTTCCAACTTCTAGAGACTCCTGCATATCTTGGCTCATGGCACATATACATATATACAGGGTGTCCCCCAAAAATATATACACATTTAACAGCTGACAGTTCGGTTGATGTTTTTTTTATCTTTTCAGATTTAACCCATTGGAATTAATAATTATTCAAAGTGTGTATACATTTTGGGGGACACCTTGCATATAAATAACAGTTTTCCCTAAAACCTCGCTCCAGGAAAACATGCCATGCTCAGCACGTTGCTTTATGTGTCACCCACTAACCCCGTGTCTTCACTCCACTCCCTCCTTGTGTTTCATCCCAGTTAAGGCAGCTGCACCTCGCCCCTTCTGTGTCTCAGCCCTGTAATAAATTAGGGCCAGAAAAGGCTTGCAGTGCAGTTTTGCAAGTCCCCGTGCATTTCACGTGGCGCTCAGCCCCAGTCCCCTCCAGTGCTCTGTCTTCCCTTTTGGAAAAGCGAACAGGTCGGCCCTTCATGAAGGTCCTGTCAAGTCTCAGGTGGGGTTTTACACTAAGCCACATGGCACTGTGGTTTGACAGAAAAAGCAGGCAGAGAAGGGAAATGGTTCCGGTGAGTGGAAGAGACGCCGCACGAGGAGCTCTGATTGGAACTCAATGCTATGCAGCCTGTAGCAAAGCCCTTCCCAAAGTCCCCAGTCACAGCCCATAATTTGCAGCAAAAATGGCTGAGGTCATAGACAGGCACTTGAGTAAAGAGACACCCGACAGTAAGCTTGGGTAAATATGCTTTATTAAATGTATAGCTAAACAGCTCCTTGCTTTCTCCTAGACTGGAAACCAAGGAACAACTGCATATTCTGTTATAGATCTTAGCATCTCTTCTCCTCCTAAGTTGCCCTGCTTCTCATAGGCTAGCACTGGCTTCCTGCTCAACTATGAAAACAAATCCCCAACTCAAAACTGAGAAAGCACTCACTTCATCCCCAGTTTTTAAACATAGAGCAGAATTTTATCCAAGCTTATTTTTATAAACAAAAATATACACAGACAAGCATTTTGAATGAAATTAATTTAAACCCCACAATATTTTAAACATGTTTAATCAACTGAGTTGAATTCATTGTAAGAGGAAAAGAGGCAGTACCTGGCTTTGATAGTCAACATATGTCAGCATAATTTTACAATAGTATTTTCATAAAGCCCAAAAATGAATTACTAATCTATTTGCCTTGGAGGGAAATGGATGAATAGTTGAGTATGTTATAAGAGTTGACAGGGCTCTGGTCTAAGCATACTTATCATATAAAGAACAAGATGGAAATAATTCTACATGGGAAGATTTGCTTTGTATTGTGCAGTTACATGAATTCTTTCTCTGCTTTATATATCAGTCCCTTAATTACCAAGCTGAATTCTTGGCAACCCAATCTGCTTTGCCTTTTTTATATCGTCTAGAACAAAAATTATATGGTGAACTTTGGCATTTTTACGTACTATATTAGTGTAATTTAACACAATTAATCTTATTAGTGATGGTTTTTCTACAATGTTCCATCTCTTCATTAATATCTCTCTTTTTCCTGATTGAGAATCTTCTCAAATTTAAAACCCATCTTTCTAAGAGTTACATAATTATGCCATTTTAGTAGCACACACACACACAACTTCCTTCAATATTTTTATCCAGAAACATTTCATTTTCCTATTTGGATCAATCAACGCTGGGTAACATAAAACCTGCTTTGTTAACCATGAAAAAGAAGAAACAGATTAAGAATATTATGACAATTTAAACAAATGAAATAGAGATTTATTTCACAATGTGGTGCCCAACACATCATAACTCTATACCTTTATTTTGTTATAGGGTGCGCATCATATTGGTAAAATGTATAGTCTTCTCTGAAGGGAAAAATCATGATCTCTCCAAAATTATGTTTTGGTTTAGGTAATTACAGAAAATGAAAGCTTCAAAGAGAACAATCTAATGAAAGCAGTGCTGCCCTTAGACCCAGGCAAGAGAGGCAAGAGTGTTTTCCAGAGCTCTACATAGTGTAAACCGGGCACAAAATCAATCCATTAAGTAACACATGAACACCTGTCATAACCCCCTGCTCAAGGGGGTAGGGAACCTGATTTTGTAGCATGTGCCGGTTTCCAAGGTGTAAATACTCTCACCCATGGTGGGTTTCAGGCTCCCAATGTGATGTCACTGACCTCAGAATTGGGAGAGATGCCATTGATGAGTTCACTTCAGCCCCAGGGCTGCCTATAACCTTGACCATCCCCTCTTTTAACCAACACAGCCAGGACATTTCCATATCTCTTGCCCTATGGCTGCTAAACAAAAGGTGACCATGTCCAAATGCCATGAAGTTTTCTGTGTTGGGTTTCTGATGGCATCCAAGATAAACCCTGCTTTGTAGTGTGGGGAAGATTTGATAGGTGGAAACTTTTAGGTAAGAAAAGGGACAAATTCATTAGCTTGTCAAATCTTTCCTCTCTGGAGGGGGTGAGAAAGGAGCCCTCATACATTGTTGGTGAGAATGTAGATTGGTTCAACCACTGTGAAAAATAATACGGCATTTTCTCAAAAATTTAAAAATAGATCTTTCATACAATCCCGCAATTTCACTTCTGGGTATAGACCCAAAAGAAATGAAAACAGGATTTAGACAAGATAGCTGCACTCCCATGTTTATTGCAGCATTATTCACAATAAACAAGATATGGAAACAAGCCAAATTCCCATCAACAAATGAATGGATGAAAAGACATGGTACATATACACTATGGAATATTATTCAGCCATGAGAAAGGACAATCTTCCTCCATTGTGACAACATGGATGGACCTTGAGCACATTATGCTAAGGGAGATTAGTCAGACAGAAAGACAATTACTGTCTGATATCACTTATATCTGGAGTCTAAAAAAGTTAAACCTGCCAAAAACAGTGAGCAAAATGGTGATTACCAGAGGAGGGGGTGGGTAAGATTGATGGTGTTAAAGGGTACCAACTTTTAATAAATAGTAAATAAGCCAGAGAGATCGAATACACAGTATAAGGTATATTGACAATAAAATTGTACTATAATGATGTAATGTGGTAAATATTACTACATTTGATATTATATTTGCTATGCAAATGGGGCTACAAATAAATAATTTTGAAAAGTTTCTTTAAAAAGTCAAATATTGTAGAAATGGGGAATAGATATTTAGAAATTTTAATTTTTAATGCAAAAATCATCCCCCCAATCCCACCCCACATTAGTTAAGTGTGTTATTGACTATAAATGCAGACGCTGTAGCATTTCCATGGAGAACACTTTGATTCCTGGAGCCAGATTAAAGACATGAAGACAATAAGTAGTATTTTCATTTTCTTCAAAGATTTTCTGAAAGTCCAACTCTTTTCTTTGGAATTTTTTTTTTTACTCGAAGCCTATGGATTTTTTTAATTTAACCTAAGTCATTCATGACTGTGCTATGAAACTCAAATTGAATAACTGAAGATCCCTAAGTCTTAAATATCTTATTTGAACATGGGAACTAAGGGTAGTACCTACAGAGCATGCCTCCATCGTGGTCTTTGATGTCTTGTGAGATGATATATTGGAGCATCTAGCATAAACTGGACATTCACTAAGTGTTTGTTGCCCTTGCCTCTCTAGAATATAATTTCTACAACAATCATTTAGCACATCTTTATAGTCCCATGTTACTATTTAATTTGATTTTGATTCATGGAAGACAGAGACTATGCCTCATTCATTTTTAAATCTCTTTCCCTCAGCTTGGGGCCAGGTACATTTCCCAGTGTTGGACAATGTCAACATCTTGAACTTAAATCTGTTATGCTATATGGTCTATTGTGGAACCTGAGCCATCAACCTACAGGGCAGAATAAGTGTTTAATAAGTGTTTACCTGTGTGATGTGGTGTGACTTGAAGTAACCCAGTTCCTTTAAATCCCTGTTCCATAATGTCTCACATTCTATTGTTAGAACTTAACTACTTTGAGTTTTCCTTACTTTGGTCTTCTTTTAATGGACAAGTAATCCTAAAAACTTAAAAAAACCTTCATTCTCTGTGGAGATACAGGAGCAATAGCACCAGAGGCTGGTAGAAAACTAAAACTGAAGCAAAGAAGAGACTTTGCTAGCATTTTACCAGAACCAGCTCTAAGTACTTAACAATGATTAGAAATAGCCAAACGCAGAACTTTCACAGTTGGTAACACTGAGATTTAAAATAAACAGATATTACACTTTGGAAGTGATAGTATTTTCCAGCATCTCAAACCAAAACAGCCCATTAGTATTCTTTATTTTTGTTTCCACACTGCAACTCCTATATGCTGTTCCTTCCTTCCAGGGTCATAAAAAAAGAAGTGAAAGGAAATAATTCTTCATCTTCACTCATCGCGCACTCTCGTCCTGTATAGAAATGCAAATCTACCAGGAAGATAGAGAATGTCTGCCAGGATCTGGAAAGTCGCAGGAGTTAAATGGAAAATAATAGAATAAATGGAGTTCATGCAAAGCTTCTTTGTCTTGGTGAGGAGGAGGTGGGTGAGTGGGGAGCAGGAGAGCAGTGGGGAGGGAGAACATTCGACACACATGTTACAGAAAGGGCCAGGCAGGATTAAAACCAACTAGTTTAAATGTATCTATTACATTGTGCTTGCTTCTTTGTTTTTTAAGTTATTGCTCATCAAGCTATTTAAGGCAAAGTCATTAAAGATAATCCTTGGTTTACTCTGTACAAGGAACAAAGCTTTGGCAGGCAGTGCGCCTATTAAAGTGCTGGAGAATGAATGGTCTTACAAGGCCATGCTGAGTCCTCTGATGGAGCCACCCTCCGTATGGAAAAGTCATGTCGGCCATCTAGGCTGTGGTTCTTCTTTACACATCGCCTGTTTGCCAGTGTGGAGTCTGCCCAGGGAGCCCCTGTCTTTGCTATGCTCTCTTGTAGTCTAGTTTTAAGAGCTTGTTTCAAGCCCCCTAGACAGAGAAAACTTTTTAAAAGCCGCTCTCTGGGGGTAACCAGGAACAGAATTGTGGAACTTGATTAAA